CAACCCAAACCATTCTATGATCCTATGATTCACCAGGATGATGCACAATTAACTGAAATCAGTAAAAACTAAATTAATACTAAACTGTTGCAGGAGGAAAAGAAAAAAGTATCATGAAACTGAAACAAAAAACAAAAAAAAAACCCAAAACCCATTGCTTTTTAGTCAGTGGGGACCCATAGAGGGAGCACAGGACTCCAGCATAAGGTAAAAAAATACTTCAGTGCCTCCTTGTTGCCTGCCCTTGGAGTGAACATGGCAGAGGGAAACCAGAGCTGGGCAACAAACAAGGACAGAATAATGTCTATTTACAAGGATGGAATCATCTCTATTTCCCTTCCCTTTGTGTTTGAGCTTCAGCCTATTTTTCTTAACCTTAAAAAGTATTTCATTTGTTTCCATTTGTAGAGGTGCTGAGGAATTGACACTTTCCAGTTCAAAAAGAACATTGTCTTCAACCAGCTTATGACCCTGCAAACACAGAACCACACCACCGGAATTAAAGAGCAGTTAAATTAAGACAGTGAACTGGACATCTACCTCCATTAAAAAATAAAAAATAAAAAAATCAGTCCTTGGGTCAGTTTCTTTCTTAGATCTGTAGAAGTCCAAATAAAAAAGGAATAAATTCAGCTAAAGTTTGCAACAACTGACTTAATAGGAACTTAATGAAATGCTGTTCATTAGCTGGATCACGCGACCTGAGCATGCAGACATTCACACGTCAGACTGAAGCGGTATTGAGCTCTAATACTGTTGGCTTTACAGGTTACGGTTGTGGGACAATCTTCTTGTGCACAAATCCTCATTTCTGCTGCAAATAAAAGCCTGGCTTTAGTCAAGCCAGGTCAAACCTTTGAGCCTGCTGCAGAGAAGGGCACTGTTTCTAATTGAGTCAGCTCCATTTGGGAACTGAGATGCAGCTGTACTAGCTTTATTCAAAAGAACCAAATTTTAAAGCTTAATGCTTAAATTTAGGCTATGTGACTAGAGGTAGAAGATTAGGAGCTGCTATTAACTCATAGTAATGCAAAGAAAAAAAGGACACCTTCAATTCGATTCAAAAGTAAAAAACTCAGAAGAGATGGATGACATTTTTTATAAAGCACATTAATCCAGGAACGAATAATGGAGGTCATGTAACAGAGATCACCTATTTAGAAGGATTCAAACAAGGCTTGAACACTTACATTGCAGAAATATTCAGAATAGTGAAGCAAAAAAGAAGGCAACGTCAAAAGCAAAGGTGAAGAGTTTTGGTGATGCTGTAAACCCTGGTCATCCAGGACACAGCTCACTCATTAGGACTGACACAAACCTTCCTCAGCAAGGTAGTAACTGTCCTGGGTTCAGCTACAGCAGTCATTTTTTCTCCTTCTTAGTAGCTGGTGCAGGGCTGTGTTTTTGACTTTCAGTCTGGGAACAATGCTGATAACACCGATGTTTTTAGTTGTTGCTCAGTAATGTTTACTCTGACCAAGGACTTTCTCAGTCTCATGCTCTGCCAGGGAGGAGGGGAAGCCAGGAGGAAGCAGAGACAGGACACCTGACCCAAACTGGCCAAAGGGGTATTCCATACCACAGCACGTCATGCCCAGTATAGAAACTGGGGGGAGTTACCCGGAAGGCCCAGATCGCTGCTCGGGTCGGGCTGGGTATCGGTCGGCGGGTGGTGAGCGGTTGTGTCCTTTTCCCTTGTTATTCCTCTTATCATTATTATTGGTAGCAGTAGTGATTTGTATTATACCTTAGTTACTGGAGTGCTGTTCTCTCAACTCGTGGGAGTTACATTCCTCCAATTCTCCTCCCCATCCCTCCGGGAGCGGGGGGAGGAAGGAAAAGGGGGGGAGTGAGCGAGCGGCTGCGTGGTTCCAAGTTGCCGGTTGGGCTTGAACCACGACAGTAACATACCCCACATTCCCTCTATTGTGGGTTATTTTTTTTCCTAAAGCAGCTCAGTCATCTCCAGTGGTAGTGCTAAAGGAACAGCAAGGCAAGCACGACATGGAGGGACATGCACCCAGGCCATGCTGACTGCTGCTGCAACTCCACAAGAGCAGCTATGGACAAAAGCTGGAGATGTTCCTGACAAGCGCCACAGGCAGCAAAATATTCATCAGATCCACGAATGCTATGAGCTGCAGCTGTAGTAATTCCCTCTGAACCCTTCCTACACTCTTGCTCTTCCTCCAGAAACCACATCATGCAGCATCATCTATGCTGTACTGCCCTCTCCCATGAGTAAAAATAACCCAAACCTCAAGCTTCAGAATATCATGCTGCAGTTTGCGCTGGAAATCGAGGAAGTGGGAGATGGTCAGCTTCCCTTTCAGATCTGCTCCAAAGAAGTATGTTGTCAGTGCAGAGTTGAAGCCAGTTTTCAGTGTGTTCCCTGTTGTAGACCGGTCTCTGTGGCGCATGCCCATGCTGGTTTGTGAACGAATGATGCTCTGAACCTAAAAATAAGAAGGAGGATGCTAGCATCAAAAACACCACTGGGGCTTATACTAGTCAAGCATCAGTACAAAGTACACCATGCTTTGCTGTGTGATCTTTTTCTTCCTGAAATAATTCTTGAAAGACATAACTTAAAAATTTGGCTGAACTTAGGCTTTGGGTTTTTTTTCAGTTCTCTTTAAAGAAAGAATAGAACAAAATGCTTAAAATGACTCTTAAGAAACAGTTCACCCAGATTGCAGATTAGCTTTCTAGTGCCGATCCTATGCCTGGTCAGCAGAGAGCAGCTTTTTCCCAGCAAAGTTGCAGGAGGAAAGAAAGCCAAGACAACTGTGGAGAAGAAAAAAGCCTACACACATTTTGGAGCTTCCATCCTTACTGTACTGCACATCCTTGTTAGCTCACACCAACCCCAATAAGCTCACATTGTATTTCCTTTCCCCTTGTGTACAAAAACAGGGGTTTTCTAACGCAAAGGCACCCATTCCATGCTGCCTGCCATTTTCTACAGCAGCTAGAATCCTCCATCCCTGAGGCTGTGCAGCAAGCTAAGCTGCAGGCAGGCTCTGATTCGCAGGCAGAGACTGACCCACCCAGAGCAAAGGCTGGGTCAGTCTCACAGAAGTCCCACAGGCTGCATCAGCCCAAATACAGTACCAACGGCCGCACCAGCAGAATAAATGATGCAGAAGTATCTGAGTTACCAGCAGACCAGGATATTTGCACAAAGACAGTCAAGTGTGAAAGCACACATTATAACAGCAACATCTCAGACAAACCACACAGGCAACCATCCTCCTTCTCCCCTGAGCTCTCAGCAGTGCCCTGGTGCCTTCTTGAAAGAACTGCTCACCTTGAGCAGATGCTATGACACAGAGCAAGGACATGCAAGACAACTTCCCTGACCCCTACAATATGGCAAAAGGTTGAACATCAAGGATGCCACAGTCTGAAAAATCAAGAGTTTGTTATTGTAAGGGTCCTGTGCTAATTTAAGGGGGCAACCAAGCCAAATATGCACTTGCCTCCTCTCTCCATCCCCAAGTATGCTACCACCCCTTCCCAGCACCTGCCCATCTGAATGATTATCGCAGGGCTATGAGAAGCCAGGCTTATTCTCTGTGTAACAATTCATGTCTTCCAACAAAGCAGCAGGATTAATTTTAAGGATGAGTGTGAGATAGGGGGTAAAAAAAGCCACCTGGTGTGCTGCCTGGCACTCAGCATAGCCTCGACAGCACAGAACTTCCTGAAGCTCCAGCAAACACTGCTGCTTTGCCAATGCGAAAAGAAGTGGGACAGAAGAAAGAAAAACAGCTGCCAAAAGCTCCAGCTGTCGAAAGGATGCCAGAACCTTGTTACCATGGTATATGGTGTGTTCAGTTTTTTCCTAATAACAGAGCGAGCACTGAAACAACCCCAAAGGGGATGCTCCGGAGGAGAACACTGTGTGTTGCTGCTGGGCTTCCCCGACTTGAAAAGCTGCCTCTGAAACACAGACTGCTGGCTATTCTTCCACTACAAGGAAAATCAAGTCAAATCTGAGGGGGGAAAAAAAATACAGAAAAAAGGTTTTGGGTCTTTTTTTTAAATACGCATTGTGATGTGAGGAAGGGCTTTTGCCCTGCAAATAGCAACTCCTTATTTTGCTTTGTGCTCCACTTTAACTGCAAGCTCTGCAAGCACATTTAGGAGACAAATATTTATAAACTGTCTGAAGCAAGGCAGTTTATGACCAGCTTGGAAAATTGCCCCTGTTTCTGCAGAAGTGAGTGTTTACCACATTGCAGACCGTTCAATAGAGCATGTTTTCCTGGGTGTTATTTATATGGCATCCTACACCACTCTTTCTCTCAGAAAAGAAAGGAAAAAAGCGTCGGACAGTTTGAAAATCCATCTGTAGGAACCAGAGCCAAAATTATTCAGCTGGTCCCTATTTTAGGCAATCCATCTAATACCCAGGAAAGCAGGCAACCACTGCAAGAAGCTGCCTTCCAACCCAGCCAGTGCTGTCCTCCCCCACAGTTCATCGATCGTACTCTGATGTGAAGCACAGAGATACTTCCCTGTCTTTTGTATGTATTTCAGCCTAAGTGTTTGAGCAACGTTCCACCTTTTGCACCAGACAAGGGGAAGGAAAAAAAAAAAAAAAAAAAAAAGAAGAAATCAATGAAAATAGTTAGTGGTTTGAGAAGAAATCACAAGTAACACTGCCTGCGAGTTTACTACTTTTCATTCAGCTTTTTAATTAAAACTAGAAAAGTAAACAAACAATTTATATGCAGAAAGATGAAAAGTTGAAGTTGATACTGATGCAGGCACCAAGCTATTCAGTGCTATGCACTAATCATGTGCATCAAGTGGGGAAAAAAAAAATCTGAGGCTCTTCAGTGAGGCCTGAAGAAATTCAATATTTTCTTATTAGGTAGTTGAAGCCTCTGACTTGCCTGTGTATTAGCTGAATTACTGCAAGTAATTTTCTTTCTTGATGAATACTCTTAAGGTTTTGCAGACATTAACGAGAAGAGAAACCTGCTGTTGGCTGTCTCCAAAGACTACATATGAAAAAGGAGTATGAAATTCATTTCCATGTGCTCATAGCTATCAGGGACAGTACAACGCTTCTCTGACGACCCTCTTCCTTCCCTTCTTTTTCTACCCATTCTCCTCAAAGCAATATTGCTCTTTTAAACTGTTGTTACCTCTGTCAGCAAACCTCCTTGAAGGGCCAGTTCTAGCTGCCCTTATCAGGTAAGATGTTTATGGGACAAATCTGCAAACCCTGCCATCCTTCATGTTTACTCAGACATTTACATAGGGAGTGAAACAGAGTATTTACGCAAATTGTTGTGCGTGTTATATTATATATGTGGGTTTTGTTATATA